TTAAGTTTTATAGTTAGTCACATGCTGGTTTCTTCCTGCCAATTTGCGCAAATACATGGTCCACCACGACACACGCACGACCCATCGACTCATCTGCTTGCCCGATGGCCCTAAGCTAGCGTTTTGACACCAGTAATCAGCCAAGAGCATTATCTGATTGTCTGCTTTCTTGTAGGAGGGACCTATGCTTTCTGGCATTCCCCTTAATTTTAGAATAAATGGGGATCGCTGCAATATCCAGCGGTTATTTAAGGAACCGCGATTTGCACTCGTACTGCCCATGGAATAGGTACTCTAAACCCGTCTCCTCTCCCACGACTTCTATGTAGCTTCTACACGAGTATTTGTTGTGCATTTGCTGAAATTCTGGCTTGAACAGATTGCCATGTCATAAGTATTGAGTCTAAAGCATGATAGACTTCTTAATTTTCTGACACATTACATCATTAACTTGCTGTAGTCATTACGCCACCATAATTTCTACCTCCTAGTGATTTCATGTTGATATTAAGGGAAATTGTATGCATTCATAAAATATGTGTGTGCACCGTATGCAATTTTAGAGGTATTTTCTGCAGCTCATATGCTGGATGAAACTGAATTCCATTGTGACTGTTAAATCACAAGCTAGTAGATGGATTTACTGTCGATACAAATTGTGTTCAACCATACAACCCGTCCGGTCTCTGGTGGTGCTGCGACAATACCTTGGTCACATGGTGATACCTTTAGAGCGCTTCTATGGCGGGTTGGCCAACCTGACTCTGCAGTTATTAGCAGAGGTCAGTCAGAGTGCACACACCCTGTGGTCGCATTTTTAATCATCAGTCTTATAACGTGCCTAAGTAATGACTGATTAATTTCGAAAACTACAGATGTTGGAAAACTAAATGACGTCGTGCACCTCGATACGACCTACATGGGAATAATTCAATCGAGACTCATACATTCAGCATTAACTATCCGCAAATCGAAGGGTCTTGGTTGGGGTGATAGTTCTGAATAGCCTTAAAAGTGCTTCTGCTTCGGATAAGAATGAAAACGAACGGATCGAAATGAAGGCGCGAATAGATAGACCCAAGGCGAAGACTTCAATTCAGGTATCTAAGCTGTTTTAGGGCAGATTTTCGAAATAGGAGATTGCAAAGTTGAAACGGTTCTTTAGAATGACGTGATTGGATGAGTTGAAGGTGAAGTAAAACGATAAATTGGAGAAAGAGAAGGAAGTGGAAACAGCACAATCCCTCCAAACCAAATAAAATTAAGGCAACTTGAACTTCTTTTACGAGTAACTGTTGGGTGTTGAGGCATCACATTCAGAGCTCTCCAATCATGGATAAGAATGCGATGATGTGCATAACATTCCACGTTTTACACCCAAATCACCGTGCAGTAAGTGGCTTTTGGTAGTGTTCAGCTCAAACGCCTTTCCAAACACCACACTTATGCTCCACCATTTGTGGAGAAGGAGTGGCAGCAGCTAAGACATCAGAGAACTGGACACTAAAAGCCATCCGTTACCAAAAGGTAGAGATTAGCCGTGTATTTTGGAGTGAGATAGGCAACATTAGTTTCAGAACAGCTTGTCTTCGTTATTGTCAAGATTATGAAGGCCTCCTGAATGTGCTACATCAACATCAGGAAAGCCTCTAAATTTCTCCAGTTCACTTGGTTTTGAGCAGAACTTTCTGATATCACTGCTTCCACGTCCTCCATCATTAGCTGACCTGAAGAAGCAGATAATACAAACTTGCAACCCAAGGTGCCTAACAAGATTAAGCTGCCCATGGTGGCATAAAGCCTCCGCGGACTCCAGTTTCTACAAAACCCTTACAGTAGCACAATGTTAAAGTTAGATGGTCTTTGATTTTAGTAATGAAGTCATTACCAATTGTACCACGCAGAAATCCTTAAAACGTCCTGGAAGTCTTGACGAGCCGCATTGATGGTAGTGGGGTGCGATCCTAATTTCAAATAATGCCTACTCTACTTTCTCTTGGTGGATTGCAAACCTCAACATGGTTGGAGAAGGACATAGACTGCAAACGAACGGATCTGTACTGATTCCAAACAGTAGAGTAAATGTAACCACTACTCTCGACAAATTTCTCAGTCCTGCGTTTTGTAGTATTGCACTAAGCAAATGAAGTAATATTATGCGTAACTGTGATCCCTCCAGAAACGTTCATTGCAGATTAAAATCGGTGGAGCAAACAAGCGACTGCTTCCACCACTTCGCCAGCTTTATAGGTCTCAAAGAGAGATGTCCGAGCAGCGTCAAAGCAAGAACACCACATTGAGATCGACCCAACGCAAGCTAGTTGAAATCTGTTTTGCGACTGCGTTTCCGAGAGGAGCAATTGACAAAGGGAAGGCCAACCCATTCCCACTTCCTTGATGAAGTTCTCGAAGGGAGAAAATAATCAGATGCATTGGAAGCATTAATAAAGACAAGCGGCGTGACGGCATGGCATCTTAACTGCACGCAGATGAGATGCACTGTGTTACGTGTTGAGACCATAGCAAGTAGTTTGCAGAGGGAAGAGCTGCAGACAGCCCTCAAGAGGACGAGGGTTTGGCACTGTGTAATAATCTGATTGCATATTAGACCTACCGTTTGGGTTTGGTTTTTGCTTCCGTGCTTCAAAGACCTTGGACCATGCTGGTAGCTTTGCAGCTCGCTTCGAGATCCGAGTAAACTACATTGGGTCTTCACAGAAACAATTAGCGAGACAAACAGAACCTCTAGGAACGAATAATTAAATTATGCTATCCTGTCATCCAACAAAATGTAGTGGACTTTAGAGGAGTCCTACAGTGGATTCAAGCTTACATCAAGTTTAAGTGCTACCGCCCTCCAAGCATGACACTGCTTGATGCAGTTCTACTGATAACGTGAATTGCCTTCAGTACTTTCACTATCTCTACTGCGGTCCCTGAAACACTTCCGTTACTTTTTGCATGCGGAAATCCTACGAATGCGTGTCATATGGGCTGGTTCAACCCATCGCCGCCCGTCGGCGCAGAGCATGTGACGCATTTGCGAGGATAGCAATGGTGCCGAAGTGACTTTTGACAGAGATAAACGCATTTACTTTGGGAAAGACACAAATAGCAACAGGTCTGCACGCTCCACGACGTCAATGGAACTCCAAACGGAAGTTTAAATTCTTCTAAGATGCTTCCAGTGCCTTGATTCTCTTAACCGAGCTCAGAGAGTTATAAAGATTATACTCACTCGAGGCGTACTCACTGCTTGCCTGCAGAGCATAACGAGACAAAGCTTCCTTACTTGCGGTTATGGAAGAAACGAACCACTGACGCATTCTGAACTCGTTTGGCAACATTAGTGACGAATTTGAGCTTGATAAATGCCCAACACCTCCCCAGCATCACAATCCCCAATCAGAAACTTCCAGTTTTTATGCAGTTTACAGTCACATCGTATTCCTGATAGTTTCTCTGAAAGGAACGCCTTACAGGCGCCAATGCCGAAGCAAGTAAGACTTAGTCAAAGCACCACGGACTAGAAGCAGTCGAAATAGCACGCAAATGAAGCGTAAAAAGCCGATCTTGTTCATTTTGGAAACTGCTAACTAGATTGTCTAATTACAGACCCTACCGAGGACAAGACCGGACTGCTTGAGACACCAAAGGCTTCTACATGCTTCTAATGACAACCAGTGTTTTAGTTTGAACAAATGAGCGACCCCGCACCTCTGTAGCCAAATCAGGTCCAGAAGTCAGCACCCACACAAGACCCCCAAATCCAGAGACGCCACCACAGCAGCAAACTCCCGAATCACGGCAAAAAGGCCTGGCAGTAATCCACCCTATAATAAGCAATCAAATTCGAAAGCGTACTCAGACGCGTTATACCAATGAATAAAAACTGAGTTAGGCAAGACCGGAATGCCATAAATATCGTGCTCCTGGAGCCCATATAAGACATGCGACCAGATAAAAGCTCTCACAAATGTTGGAATAAATGCATATTTACGCGAGCACAAACTTTTTTTACCAAAATGCATACAAAATTCGGGGAAGTAAGACACCACACCCCTTAAACAAGTAACATTTAATAAACACGAGATGTAGCTAATGCTCCTCCACTGACAAAAATGATGCCAATGGCCCTGATATACGATCAATAAACTCCGGCACAGGATTGCGATAGAATGGATCCGAAAGAAAGAAGAACATCCCCAGGGCGGTCAGGAGGCAAGCAATGAGCAGAAAGAAGAATGTCTTTAAACCCAGGATCGAGAAGAAACGATCTACAACGATAAAGAGCACCGGTAAGACACTCAAAGAGAGTATCGACACCGACATCAAGTAACTCACATGTCAATGCTCGTACCAAAGCGAAAGGTGCCAGCAGAAGACTAAGTAGACCAAGAAGAGAGTGGGACAGAAAGTCACAAGATGCCTGAACTGAGGGGAGGCGAATCCAAGAAGTGCGCCTCGTCGGTCGGCACCACTGCTTATGATAAAAAACCTCACCTCTAGAGTGGGGATGTTTTGTTGGACTGCTAATGCTAGTCATAACACGCGAAATGATACGCTCGGCATCAATTTTTGCCTGGAGACGAGGTGAGCGGATATAAAATTCTTCGTAAGGATCCGATGGTGCCACCTGGTTACCAGAGGGATGAAGAGAGCGTCGACGAAAAACAGGTAGGCCACCAGGATAGTCCGGCAACTCAGCAGAGGGGAAGTAACGAATGCGGTACTCGCTGTCCTCGTAGAGTACCGAGTCATTACGCGACTTACTGGTATCGTGAAAAGCGGCTTCGGAAGTGGCAGAATTAACGTCCGCGACTGATCGTCTCTCCGGCGAGGGCTGACTAACTGGTACAGCTGGGGCGCGATTCTCGACAATTGCTGGCGTTGTCGTAGCAGGGACTGTTGTTACAGCTTGACGTCTAGAGCTAAAGACAAACGAGCTAGCTCGACCCACATAATCAACGGTACTTGAATGACCTAGTCATCAAATTTGCCTTACTTATTCATAAGCGCGGATGAAAACAATGCTGGGTAAAATAAGCATCCCATAATTAGCCACTTAGGACGGATGTAAAACGGAAGAATTTGATAAACCCAAGGAGCGAAATAAGGAATGAATGTGCTGCAGCCCCACCAAAGACTACCTTGAGGAAACTACTATCCACAAGCTTAAAGTGTGGGTAAAATCCAGGTTAAGTTGTAAGGAAATGTCAAGAAATCTCAAAACGGTTCCAAAGCGTTATCCAGAGCAAAACGACTCAGATAAATGAGCAGATGATGACAATACAGGAAAAAAGGTATACCACTGTTAATCAAAAGAAATTCGACTAGAAAGAAAATGAAAATAAAATTAGTGAACGCACCTAGACGCACGTCTATCCGGTGAGTTGTCCGTACTTGTAGCAGCGCTAAGTTAGAAAATAGATTGGAAACCGAATCAATACCTTTTGCTAGAGGCTTCTAAACAAATTGTTGATTAAATCGTAGCTTTACGTACCTTTTGGCTTCGACGCTTGCAACTTGGCTAGTTTAGCTTTAAGAACCTCGCGAGTAGAACCTATAAGCATTAAAAACGCAACCACAAAACCTGTTGCCGGCGGCACAGGATCCATGTATTTTGCAAGCTCGTTCCGCAGATCATCATCCGACAGCTCCATTGCTTTCTGAACGCTTAAGAAGGCGACAAAATCAAAATTTGCGATGCATGAGTTCATTAAAACCGTAATGGGAAACAAAGTCTATCCAATTGTTAGTTTTCAACGTAAAATATTAAATCTATACAATTTTAAAAACTTCTGGCAGCTTTATAGTGATTTTACTGAAATACTTTTTTGTGCGACCCATTAATGTGTGGCGGTCACTTTAAGATTTGTTTGGGGCCTGTGCACTTGGCTTGTCTTTGGATCATGTCCGGGTCCGTTTGACCTGTTGTCCTTGGAATACATGTATCCAGATCCACTTACTGACTTCTTATACCGGTTAGGAAGCGTCGGACCGCTACATTTATATAATTATCCAAAAGCAACTGTCGAACGTCAGATAGTCACATACACCAAGCACTACAACTCTTTGTACCACCCCAGATTAGTAATGGGCGTAAAGTACGTATATTTTCGAAAGAGGAGGAGGGCTAAAGCCTTGGCTTGGTTCGGAGGTCGGCTAATGCGTGCAAGGGTCAAACGAATACCATGAACAAAGCATCGAATATTAGA